AACGTTACTTGAACTTAAGTCAACTCATCTAACACTTTGTTGTCTTCAAGACAGAACTTCTTCAGTTCTGTAAGAAATCAACAGCTGATTGTTCTTCAAGGCGACTTCTTCACAACAGACAAGGAAGCAAACACACAAAAAAACGAATGATATGACGACTAAGGATACAATTACCAATTGACAATAACAAAGCAATTTGACAGCACAAAAGCCTTCAAATTTACCTCCTTCCAACGAGTCTTCGTTTTGCGTTTCGAGTTCCGCTTTAAAATAATAATACAATCATAGAATTAGTTCACTGAAAGTCCTCTATCTCACGCGCTCCCACTATCGCAATCGCATTTTAAAAAAACACAAAATGACGCACTGGTCTAGAGAAGGAATAGAATGAAGTAATGCGGAAAGATTCATTCATAAATCCTAATGAGCCAACTCAAATCAACAGCACACTGATATAGCACAACTGAACAAACCAAACATCCGACATTATTATACAGTGTACACAAATGAAAAGACGACTTATACGAGATAATGAATAATTACCTTATCGACACCTCTGAACCATGATAGTGTAGCAAGCGGATTACCGCCATGCGCTTCACAAGTCAGATTCAACGTTTCACCTTCAACTAGTGCTTCTCCGTCCATTCCGTAGATTCGCGGTTCCATTGGTGGTGCTAGAACATTGACGCATTTCAAGCAATACAATTCATAAGTTAAGTTCATGAGAATAATGATTCAATAATACCAGAATGATGCTTTACAATTTATAACTGAATGAAATTTTAGACAGAACCACGAACAAAAATAAGGAGTGAAAGAAAAGAAAACCAACCAAGCATTCTAATGGTGTGTTGCTTACTAGCACGGCCCTTTTCATTTTCGGCGATACATTCGACAATAATCTGATGGTTGATAACAATCGCTTCAGATGGATTAATTGTCAGATTTGAGAGCGTTATTATACCGGTCGGTTGTTCATGCTGCATTTCGTTTAATGAACGCATCGGTTTACCGTTCACCAACCATTTGATTTTTGATGCCGGATTCGATAATCTCAAAATGAACTACTTATTGCTTGTCAGTTAAATATATCATTTCGAATCCAATAATTGCCCTTCTATCATTTCCACAGTGTCAAATCCACCTGTTAGTAAACGTTCACTCAAAAATGAATGATTCGGAAGAGGCAATCAATTGATCGTTTATTATGAGATTTAAAAGAAATACCTCGATCTACAATGTAACAGAACAGGTCTTCCATATCTGGTGGCCGTTTCACCGTATACATCAACACCAAGTGGTGCATCTGAAAGTATATTCTGATCATTAAAATTTGTAAATTCAACGATCATGTGGTGCTTACTTCTTCATATCAAATGAAGCGGATATCGAAACTTCTCATCCAAACAGTAACAGACATCAACTGCTATCAAAGCAAATGTAAACATACAAGAAATTGACAGGCGTATACTCGCTTCGAGTGGATCAGCACCTTGACGATTCACCGAACGGCATTCGTAGATCGCACCGTTGTCATCAGCCTCAACTACCATCGAGTACACATTACGCGTTTCCTGTAATTAATCAGAAAAGTTCACCTGATCCAGTGTACTCCTTCATTCTAAAAACTGATCTGTTTTCTCTAGAAAATTCTTCATTACAACATGAATCTTGAATTTAACAAGGGAAAAAGAAAACTTCCACTAGCGAATAAGAAAGAAGAAATAATTTAAGTTTTTGATGTGTTGATCATTCCGAATGGATCAGCAGCAATGCATATTTCGTTGAAAGGAGCATTAATAAAACCTGAGACGTGTAATCATAATAGAAATTGCTTCCAATCGGACGTTCATTGAGGTACCATGTAACATTAGGCGGTGGATTACCTCCACTTGTTGAGCACACCATCGTTACATTGTCGCCAGCATCTGCTGACGAACCGCCACTCACCACAGTGATTCGAGGAGATTCCGATGGATCTGGAAGGAAGGGAAATGCATCAAGCAAAATGTTCGTAATTATAGCTATAACGGTGCAGCAATGACGAGGAAATTAAACGAAATGAGTTGTGACAAAGACAATGAAACGAAGATGTATTACTTACACAAGACATCAAGTGAGATATTGACGCGATACTGATTCGGACTGAACGCATGAGATGTTTCACAGGTCAGCACGCTTTTGTGATCATTTCGACTAGAAATTGATTATTTTTATTGAGAAAGTTTCGATTATCTACTAAATTGAATTATCTATGATTATCAACATTTCGACTGAATTATTATCTACTAAAGATTGAAAAAATTATAATGGTATTCTTTTCACATATTTCCAACCATACACCAGAAAATATGAGGAATAAAACATCTGTATAGTTCGCGACCATTTTTTTTGCTTAAAATAAACCTGGTGTTGCTACATCTTCAAATTTCAGCACTTAATATGATAACGTGTTCGCTTTAGGCTACACAAAGTGAAGATTTCAAATTTTGATAATCTTTCAAAAATCACTCAAATTATGTTCCATTGAATCATTATGTGAGCAAACAAAATTGATAAATAGTAAACTCAAAACAATAAGGTTAATGCTCACAGCAAGCAAATTAGTAATATTGATGATAACGGATGCGCGTAAACTCGTAATGAGTTTTTGTAACTGTTGATTAAATAAATAAAACCAAATATAAATTACTACAAGAAGTATTACAGAAGAAAGCAAAAAAATCAAAATGACATCAGGAACAAATTAAGAATATGAAAGAGCATCTATCATTGCTCGCACTCCGATCTTTTTTGACTACTTTCTTTGTGCCTTCTTGATGATCGCTCCTTATCAAGGAATCATTATTCATACAATAGTCATATGCAGATTGCATATGGAAGTAACAGGGTTCGCAGCGTGTGTGGTCATAACAGTGTTAGTGGCTGCACTAATTGAACCGCTTGAAACTAGATAATAATAAGATTGGATGGGATTAAGAAGATTCACTAAAGGCTCGAAGGCCTGAAAGACAACAATATGTCCATTTGAAATGCTTCGCTGTCGGTATTTACGTCACATCAAACTCTAGAGAGATGAGCAATATTAAGAAGTAGCGCAGAGGTACTCGTTAAAAATTAGATGACCCATCGTACCCGGACGTTAACAGAAATGTTTATTGCCATATAAAATAAATAGGAATGTACAGAAGGACTGAATACGGCCACGAGTCCTAGGATTAGATGTGAAAAAACAGCTATTACCCATTCCCCTGCCAGAATGGTCAGTTTTTTTTCCTTGCATTGCACGCATATCGTTCTGAACTCTGCTGTGCAAAGAACCTTACCTCAAATGTCTAATTTGCTTTGAACGTTGCTTCATTCAGCTCGAGACTCAGAATTTTGCATTACGATTGATTAACCCTATTTTGGTTTCCTGTTTGAAATAATGACTAATAACTCGTTTTGCGTCTGGATTTCCAAGCTTTTGGTGCAAATGGCTGAACCTTTAACCGATATCCGATGACCATCAACTTACGTGGGTTTCCAAATTAAGGCAGCATATGACGTGACGGTACCATTGAGATGATGTTCATTCCAGCGATGTATACCTTCATTGATCAATTTACCATTCATATACCAATTCAACGCACTTGCTGGTTTAGTGCTTGGTGTTGTACAACTGATATTCAGTGGCGTATCTTCGTTCACTTGAATCGCTTCACCAGCGCGATATTTCATCAATGATATTCCGGATGGAGGCACTGCAATATAACAATGCTAACTCTTTATATGCAAACCTGACTAATTCTTACATCTTTCAAATAATCAACTATGCAACAAATCGATCACTCAGTTGTTCGACAGATTGCATATTGCACTTCAACAATTAACTGAATAATACAATTAACTGCTCGCTGTCATCATTAATAACAATCAGAAATACGCCTAAAACAGCTGGATAGCCAATGAAAAGTAGTGTTCAGAATTTGGACCAATTCGGGGCCCCTGATGGCCCGAATCGTCAAGATAAGTCGCCGCGAAATCTTCATATCTGTGACGGTCCCTTTTTCGGAAAATCCCTCGTAAAATGCAGATGAATAAAATAACATTAATTCAACATAACAAATGCTTGCATGTATGATTAATAAACAGTGGTTTTCAAGCTTCAGAGCCGAAAAATGCTTTTACTCAATCGAAAAAAATATCACAGCAGCTTCCAGCGGCTAGAGCTAAAACCAGCGTGATAAACCTTTCCGGAACCGGAGCGGAGTGAAAAAAATTTTGAAACTCAAGTCGAAGCCGTAACTTTGAAGAATATGGCGTGGAAGTTGGGGCTGGAGCCGATATTTCAAAAGTTCTGAGCTGGAACTGGAGACGAATTTTCTACAGAGGTAGAGTCGGAACTGAGGCCGAGGTTTCAGAACCCGAGAACCAAAGATTGATGAATGTTTTCAAACTTGAGAGGGAACCCGCCCTCGACGAACAATAATTGTGACTACTTCAGACTGAATTTTGTTCAGGACAAGGCGAGCTGCACATACTCGGAAAATGTGATAAAGAAGAGTATTTCTGTGAGCGAGCTGCGTTTAGATATCCGAGTGAAAAATACACCATCACAATGGCCTCACAACATCCACACTGTTATCTCTCATCCACTGCAGTGAGTGCCTTTAATGTAGATAAGTGTACACCACTATAGTACGTTCTAGCCTTTTCGAAAATATATACGTTAAAGTCCATCCTTACCTACTTCATGAACATGTATTCGTTGGAATCCACTCTCGCCTACTTTAGTGTATAAAAAATAAAACCTTATCTTCCATCCCCTGAAATACCATTTCATACTCACGGTTGAGAAACCACAGTCTAAATGCTTCATCATCGCAACCCACGGCTTGCAGTAGTCTCTGTTGCCATTTTCGTAATGCTCCAAAAACTTTTTAAAATTATATTCTTCAGGATACAAAAATAAAGTGAGAAGTCTCAATGAGGATTTCCATTCAAGGAACCTCTTTTAACGCGCTTGTATCCGCTTGCAATGAAAATCCTCACATATCCATAGAGAGGTGGGATACCTTCCGAATATATAGCACGTTCTAGCCTTCTAGTGGTGAGAAGTGAGTGAATTTATCGTATAGGCAAAATAGCGGAGTATTCTAACTTATTTCATTCCTTTTATAGGATCCATATGATGAGAACAAAATTTATGAAAAACGAGAAAATTTTGAAATTCATTGCCGCATGAAAAAAGAAAACTGGTAAAATGCAACAGATTCGCAATAACAGGAACATAAAAAGCAATACGGATGCAATGATCCCCGGCGAAAAGTTTAGTGGTATATAACAAATTGCACAGTAGTTGCGTAGAGGAGATTAATGATGGTAATCGATTGAGGATATAATATCAGGTGTTCATCTACCCAAACAACAATTGCTTTCAACTATTTGACCTCTACTCAGAAAACCACTTCATTTGCTTTACCAAACAAAATCCACCTCAAACGTAATTTGATAAGAACAAATTGTACAATTATCTTCCAAACTGAAGCAGGTACCACAATCTTAAGCATTTACAACACTACTAACATGTCTCTTCATAATAATTTAATTAGCATAGCACAATCTTGCTATACGATGCTCATTTCGCTTCAATATTCAATCATTCAAACAAATATTCGCATATTTGGCTCCAATTTTGATGGAGTTTAGTGATCCGAAAAAAAACGTATCGCCAATTAAAAGGAATTTCCCCGAATGCTTTGAATTTTTCCAAATTGAAACTATTTCGATGCAGCAGCCAATTTTGACTTCAGAAATTTTGAAATGCACCAACGACAATATTACAAATAAAAATGGTTCATTAAAAAAAGACTTGTCGGTTAACAAATGCCTTCAGATGGAACGAATGATTCATTTTGAGTGATATGTTATTTATCTGTATTCATTCAATCACTCATACTTTCAAAAAGCGAATCTAGATGGCTGATATTGACATACCAACGACAGTAACGTAAGATGATGAGCGAAACCCCCTCAGGCCAGGTCGCATCATTTGACATTCGAAAATGCCATCGTCTTCAAGTGTTACGTTCTCGATTTTCAGGTGCTTCTCATCCGGTCCATCACGCATATAACTATATCGACCTCCATAGCCCGCCAATACACCTTCATCATGGAAGCTAAAAACGGAATCATTTCACTTAACTGATTGATGATTCTAACAGATAATTCGCTGCGCAATCAATTAAAGAATTGTCATCGTTTAACACCTACGAACAGATGCAAAAGATGACAGGTATCAATACAAGAAATCAAATACCCGAGAAGGGAGCCGTCATTACTCTTCCATTGGCTTCGCAACTTCTCGCCTGACGGTGACGGCTCGGCAACACATCGAAGAATCACTTTTTGTCCCAAAAGCACTGTCTGTAATTATTCAAACATTTTAAATTTCCATCGTTTGTTTCTATATTTAAATAACTGAAAAAAAAGAATTTCAGATTGCATTGTTCTGATTATGAAATCGTGCTCACTGAACCAAATGACTTGTTTCGACTGCTTGCAATGCTCATCTAAATCAAGAAGAACAATCATTTTAATCACATTTGCAATTTTGCACTTTCGCTTCTCCTCACAATAATGACATTTTAAGCAAATTAATGAAGATTCGGCTATATGCAAGTTTGCTGACCGCATATATGGAATTACTTTGGAACGAGCAATGCGATTTTCGCTAAAATAATGGTGAATGATCGAACAAAAAAAAACATAAGGAAATTGAAATAATTGAAATCAAATCATATTTTAAAAAAGAACCTTATTCTTTGGTACTTCCTTGAATAGTGGATCATGCGATTGAACAATGCTTATTAGTAGTTGGAATATAAGTGGTGGTATAAGTAGCGTAAAGGATGCAATCAGCATCGCATCTCAGATACTACAAAATGCATATCATTAATAAAATTATTCGGATTAATAATAAGAAGAGCGTTCAATAAAGGGTTGTTGTGAGCCAGAGCAATAATATTCGTGTCGGTGATCGAAGCACAGCAAAGGCAACAGATGTGACATCGTAATTTATCGTTTATTATCAATAAAAACGCATCAATGCACTAAATCAACACAACGTCAAATCCGTTCACACCCTAAAGACAGCTAATAGTATATTCAATCATCCGGATGCAATACGCTAAATGAGACCAAGACAGATATAGATGAGACGATAAGCGAACGTGCGATGTGATCTGACGTGATGCGCTGATGTGATTTGTTCGTGGAATACTCACAGTTTGTTCATCGTATCACAATTCCATTTCATTTCATCGCTACTAGATCCCATTCGAAAAAACATTCATAATCATCACATATTAAATGAGAAATGCACAAAACGCTGCTGCATGTGTTATATCCATTCAAAACAACAACAACGAAACCCATAATATGCACTGTTAGCGAGCTATAATATCAGATTGACCGAACGGATCGTCGCAATAGCAATAACAATAATAATAATCATAATAATAAGCGAAGATGACGGTCAATCGACGACTAATCCCTTGTTGCAAAGTGCAATGTTCATTCAGTGCCTACCAATAAATGCGAGTGATTTCATCATCATTTGCCTTTGTTCTTCAACCTATACCGCAATAACATTCACACTTATACCAGACATAATTTCTTGCAGCAGCACTCCTTCATAAACTTCATACGGCAATTCAAGAATTTGTTTTTTTTTCAGAACTGCTGAATTCATTCACTCACATTCGCGTATGTAGGTAAATTCATAGTGTTTCATCACTATTACTTTTATTCAGACTGATTGCAGTGCGCTTAATTTTATAGTAGCAGGTGCATAAATTATATATTACTTTTTAACAGAAGATTCGTTGAAAAGAAGAACAACGCGATAGGAAACTGGTTGTTGAAGAACAATTGCCCAACAAAAATTCCTCGTAAGGCGATTTAGGTTGTTAACATATCCAAAAAATTAAAATGTTCATTTGAAACCTTGTCACGTGATTGTCTTCGATTTCAACCGTTGGAAAACGTTTCAGAAATGAACTGCAGTATGGACACATCACCATAACGAAGATAAAATGCTTTAAGAATTGGTTATTTCTCTCTTTCGAAGAAGAAAAACAGAAACATCGCTGTATTCCCTCCCACTTTACCACACGAACACTGTTAAGTAGCATCTTAATTGCAGTGTCATTATTCAAGATCTTTGGAACATATCTGCAAATCGTGAAACAATTACTGCTTGTTACTTTGCTAGTAACCACATCTAGAACCGAGCTTTCATTAAACGCAGTTCACTTTCTCGAAGCACACCATGAATGAATTCAAGTAGCATCCAACCATTCAAAATGCTTGTGCTATACCGAATCGCAAACATTACCGTTGTGTACCTTTCCAGCCTCATTAATAACCCGTTCAATAGGAATGATATTTCCTTCTAGAAAGCTTCAATCATAAGCGAATAATTAATATGAGTGCACTAACAGATTGATTGAGAAGCGATTCTATGCGACATTTACTTTATTCATTAAACGAAATTTTTAACATTCAAATTAGTATTTTTGGTTCATTGAAAAGACAGGATAGACAATGCCCATTTTTTCGAAGATTGTTTGTGAATGTATATAACAATTTCAGTTGCCATTCGTCGAGGAGAAAATCTCGTTTACTCTGTTTTGAATCATATTCGAAATATCATAGTTACACTTTAGAAAAAACGATTTGAAAAAAAGATTTCAGACGAAAAATCATTTTTTAAACTTATCGTCTAAATTTTTGTCTCAAGCACTTCAAACAAAAAACACGGAATTATTTATAACTCATAAGTGAAATATCACGCATAATATCGCAATAATACCATCAAAGTGTGATGCATACGCATTTCTTTCAATAATCTTCCTCCTCAATAGGCCTCCTCTTTGAGTAGATCACTTCCTCTCTCACATGAACCCGTGTTCTGCAAACTGAAATGAACGCTTGTGGGTACTGTTCATTTGTGTTTTTTGCGTGTTCAACAACCTCTTTTTCCACAATGAACATTTTGGGGAATCCAAACTCCTCTACCGCGACTCAGCAGATATTATCTATAAATGCTTGGAAAAATTTCGTTCTCTTGAATTCTGAATCAACAGTTTATGCATCGTAGAACTGGTGATTGGCTGAGAGGTGTCGCGAAAGTTAAGGATGTTGTTAAGAGAGGGGTACCCCCCCCCCTCCCCCCAACTCGGTAGAGGAGGTGAAAGAAAGAAAAAACAGAAATTATAAAAATTAGGAATCTGCTTCAAAATTCAGCTCCTTTTCTGGATCAGTCCATTTTACGTTCCATGCCCGTTGGAAAAAAAAACTGGCTAGGCCACTGATGAAAATAGGGAAACGTGCAAAAAGAACTACAGAGTGGCAACCAAGAGTTTGGAAAGAAATAGAAGAAGACCGAGGATAAGACGGAGAGACCCGACCTACAAGGTGAGCGGTCAAAATTGAAAAGCTATTAAAAAGATTTTTGTTCGTAACAAATGTTGATAGTTGAATAAATAACAGTAATAGATGAATGAAGTATACTGATTAAAACATAGTTGATATGAACCGGGAAGATATCAGATTAAGTTATTTAGTTGGTTGCTTGCGACAAATGACGCTTTCAACTATGCGAGTAGTCATATTAATTGCTGTCCACAATGTGTCAATGGTTGTAGACCAGTGATTCCGACCATTTTGTGCTTCTGCCTCCCTTTGGCCATATGTCAGATCGCCAATCTACGCAAACGCACTATTTCCCCACTCCCTTCTCCTTTGACAGTTTTTTACATCTTGGTGATAAATACAAACGAAATCATGAAATTGATCTACTGATGAAGAATTTTATGGGAAAATTATCAAAAAAAAAATCAACTGACAGTGACTTGCCAACCTCCTTAATGCCCTTTCTGGCACCATCAAATTTCTCCCTCCCCTACTACGAGAACCATTGCCACATTCAATACGCATCACGATAAATGATAAAGAACAAAATATTTTCATTCACTATGAACAAAAGAAGCGTGAATTCCACTTTTTTAAAGGCAAAAGCGCTTTAGCAGTAACGTCTAGTAAAGTACCAATTACCCTCTTTGTTGCTGTTGTCTGTTGATTTGAGAAAAGTTATAAAGGTGACTGGTGAGTGAAAGGAAGAGAAAGTTTCCTTTGTTCTCAGTAATGGAATAAAAAAATGAAACTTTTGGAATATTTGACTGCAAATATTTCTAATCGGTTGATAGATTTGTTTTATATAATTTTTGATTCATGAGAGCACTGGTACTTATTTTAGAATTTGATAATCAACACATTTAGAAGAATGCTCCTTGAAATTATCTGAATGATGACTAAACACAATTTGAATCAATGATCAAATTACGAATAAAACAATCACATTAATTGTTAAAAATGGACAATGAAAGGTTGAAGAATGGAGGACTGGTACAATTTTTGAGTGAATGAATAAAGAATGACAGCAATGAATGAGGAATGCTCCATTCAAATTGATCAGCGATCAATTGCAAGTAGCTTCTAGGCGCAGTGATGGTCGCTCGAGATAGAATTGCTTGTTTCGGGTACCTAGAGAAAAGAGAGGATGAAGTGAAGTGGAACCTTGGCATTGTTGTCAACGCAAATTTTGAATATTTAATAAACTAAATAAAGTGAACACAAATAAAACATAAAGAATAATCGATAACAATAATACTGATTACAATAGTCATCATTATGATTGCTCGTATTATGGATATGAAAATAATTAATCGAAAAAGATGATGAATATGGTTAATCAAAACTTAACGACCATTCATCAATTAACAACACCAACTTATGTTGTTAGATAATAGATATGTTCAATTCGTACATAAACGCATCATATGCTAATAAGCATCTAAATCCTCATTCACTCACCTCATAAATCGTTCATCTTTTCTTGTTTTTCGTCTCTCTTTATCTCAAACAAATTGATGGTCATAATAAATCTGTTCGAGTGAACTCCTAATTATGGTTTTTAGATGTGCGTAATGTCGCTGAAGAGTGATTATCCGTTTATTATGCTAACAGCTCTTTGCACAGTTCATCATTGTGGTCACAAATACAC